TCAAAGCTACAAACTTTCTGTGCATGCGTCGCGTTCACGCATGCGCACAGGCGTTTACGAGAGTGCATAAGACCCTTACAGCTGCGAATATGTTTGTGCGCATGCGCGTTTAATGTGTAACGGAGTTATACGCTAAGCTAGAGTTATCTAATTCAGTTAATGTTGCAGATTGCGCTGTTCCTTAATCTTCGAATTGGATCTGGCTTATTATTTTTTGCAGACTGGTAGAGCAATTTTATAAAAGTAAGCTTGAACTTTAGATTATGTCAGATAGAATTTCCGATATATATTTACTACAAAGCAAAAGTATGTTGTGAAATCCGAAATCTCTTTATCAATTTCACGCTGCTCTGCGGCAGAGGGGGGGGGCAGAAACGTCATTATTAGATTATGATAGATTAGAAAGATTATGTCAAATAGAATTTCCGATATATATTTACTAATATGTAATTTGTATCTACAAAGCGAAAGTATGTTTTGAAATCCGAAATCTGTTTATCAATTTCACGCTGCAGATTGGAAGTTGATCTGTCAGCACTATCCTTATCTTCAGAGCAGATGTTTTTATTTTATTTGGTTTATAATTCCGTACTAAGTGTAGTATTTCATCTCGATATACTCCGTCTTTGATATGATTTAAATCAAGTTCCTCGTTATTATAATTCGCTTCCGATAGTGAAGAAAGTGACCCAGAGGTTATTGAAAACGAAAACATTTCGATTGACAAATTAGTCGGTATTCTCAACACAGCAATTATAGGACTTGAACAGTGGAACTTTGTAACTAAACAAGAAATTATGTCTGTTTAATAGAATTAAAGAGAAAGTATTATGACAAACGAAGCAACTTACATTGAAGGAAATGTTTAATAAAGTAAACAAATAAATATTAAGCTTTTTCTTTTTGTAAATTTTGATACCCTTTAGATCATAATTGTTCTTTATTTCATAAATTACGGTTTCATATTTTTAATTTTCTAATTTCTGCATGCCATCTTACCAGATTTAAACTGATGATCTATAATCTGGAAAAATCGATAATCCGGAATCGCCGAAGTCCCGACGAGTCCGGATTAACGACTTTTGACTGTATATCACTTGTCCACATAGTGCTCTGCTGGTCCACAATTATCAGGTATTCATCACATCGATTGGCCAGCCAGATCTTTTGACCCCAATCATACAGAGCACATCTGGGACACTCTTGGGAAGGACATTTTATCTAGCCATCACCCTCTGATAATTATCCTAGAATTGAAAACTGCCTTGCTGCAGCTATCACAAGAACTCCCCTACTGTCTCCTGACCAGTATGTTATGACCTGTCTGCAAATTTTCTTAATTTTGCACATGAGTGTACATATATACAGCTTCTTCATTATTTAATAATAGAGACAGCAGCAATAATAATATTAGCTAAATGGCTACTGAGCTAAAGCATTGATCAAGTCTTGTGGACAGGACACCACTTTTCTAAAAGTGCAATTCGAATCTTCTGGAGGTTCTGGGCAGGGATCTGACACCCCAACGCATCCCACACATGCTGAATCGGGTTCAAGTCAGTTGAGTAAGTAGGCCAGTTCATTTGAGTGATATCTTGTGTTTGCAAATATTGTGACACACCATATGTTCAATGAAGACAAGAAGTGTCATCCAATAGCAAAAACTCTGTGCCAAAAACATACCTAAACAGTCTAATTTGAGATTTCAGTATCTTGTCCACTTATCTCTGAAACAGAAACTTCTTGGTGCGGCCATTTGTCTTAATTCCTCCCTAAATCATTGAACGCAGTCGAGGAAATGGGATATTTCATGGACAAGAGAAGACAAGGAGTTCCTTTCTCTCTCCAGGTCAAAACATGTCTAGAATCACTATTCAGACTATATCTATACTCATCAATAAACAATACTCGGACCCAGTCATCTTGGCTCCACTGAATATCATGATGGCACCAGTTTAATTGTTTAAATGGGCCTCTCTACAAAGCTGGAGTAAATGGGACACAAACCATTAGTTTACTTGTATATAGTCCAGCCTCGTTAAGCCTTCTTGCAGGAATAGAATGGCTAGTTTGAGCTCATGTGGCAGCCAGAAGTGCTAAAACCAAACCTTTTGGAGTCACTTTGGGGTTTCTTCGAGCTGCTAAGGACAGAAAATGGTTCGCCCTTGACCAGTCTGTCTATCAACTGATCTAGTGCTTAAAAAATGGCTCCAAACTCTTTATATGACACTTTCAGAGAGATTCAAATCTTGGTTTGAACCTTTCTGAATACTACCAATCATTTATCACTTCTGACCAGAATAGAATTGCAATGCAACCATTGTGCACCACATTGTCAATCACCAAATTTGCACATATCTGGCACTAATCGTACATACAGAAGAGGAATTTTGTGTTCAATTGTATTTTATTAACATGAGTAATCTCAGCAATGGATATTGGTTGCAACAATAGCTTAGTGAGTAAATATTTTTTCATTATTCTTTAATTTTGATGACTAATGTGCTAAATAGAGGCTATTTGGAAGAACTGAAAATGAATGAAAAGCAAAAATGTCTACCTGAAAGTTATGAAAATCCAAAGGAATTAAAACATGAAGACTTAAATAAATTAATTATAAATGAAAAAGGGAAGAGCGAGAAAAAAATGGAAACATAAAGGGAAAACAAGTAAAATCAGCAAAATAAAGGAAGCACTGGCAAGGCATACCAAAGTGGTATGATTCCTTAAATATTTGCTTGGCATTTTAAAGGATTTTTGCATGAATGCAATGATTCAAAACTAAGACAATCTAGAGAAGATCAGCAACTTAAAATTGTATTTCACAAAATGGGAACAAAAATCTTTTCTCAAACCAGTTTGGAGATCCCCCGCTAAAATGCTTTCAAAGAGCTTTCTATCTCATCTATCTACTTCATGTCTCTCTGAAAACTGTACTCAAAAATTGCAGAGAAATTAGTTAACTAGAATAATCACTAAATTTAAAGGTATACAGCATGATTAAGTGTAAATGAGAAGAGTGAAGATGAATAAACAATTCATAATATGAATCACTCTTGACTAGTGGTAATTTGTGATATACATTTTCAATTACTACATAGTGGCCAAAGCATTTCTGACAGGATTTCATATGTTCTAAACTGGCCCTGACCCTATAAGATATGGTCCCTCTCCTTCCCTCTTTGGAATCTCTTTCAACAGAAGTAAACCTACTATTCCAGAGAAAAACAGTATTTGTCAGATAATGTGTTTAGATTGCTGCAAGGCAATACCAAGTAATCCAAATAATGAAAAACAAATAAAAAAGTCTTTATGAAATAAGACTAATTCATAAAATAATTAATGAACTGAAAGTGTAAAATAATTTAACAGTTTAATGGCAGCAAAAAAAATAATTCTTTTAAAACAATTCATCTACAATTTTGTATCATGAATAATACAAGTGTAGGGCCTCTCTTGTTGCCATTAAGCTATATGCTAATTTTTTTTCAATTTTAGTTCATTAATTATTTTATGAGATTTAAATAAACACTTGTTTTATGAACACTTTTTTTTTATTTCTAATTCTTTTAATCTCAATTACACATTATTACTCAAATTATTCAACTGGAAAATCATTTAAAAATGAATAATCACTCCTTTACTTTAAACAATTCTTTATGGCAAAATGATCGGAAGAGAAAAAAAAAAAAAAAAAAAAAAAAAAAAAGCAATATTGTAAAAAGATGAAATTTCATTAAAATTTCTCATAAACTTCATTTAAAACACTTTTATTCTGTTTCATCTGATGGTGCAAAGACTAAAATTGAGATTTTTCTATTTGTTAAAGTAGATGTATGAAAAAAAAAATAATTTAAAGATTAAATTTTGAAAACATTGCTTCACCACATTTCACAGAGTGTGTATAAAATTTGTTCTCGATAGCTTATCAGGAAATATTTTAAAAACTCACGATAAGCTTGATCATAGTAGCAAACACCATGAGAGAAGTAAATAAAAGCATAAAAAGTATTGAAGAAGTGAACTGCATTGAAGAAGGGTAATCTTTAATTCATGATTTGAGGAATATAACTTTAATTCTAGACGCTTTACCTACAATGACTATTTGTCTTCATATTCTTTCTCAAATGCCAAGTAAATATTTAAATACCCACATACCATTTCCGGATTACAATCTTATTTACAATCTTCTTTTAGTTAGCCAGTTGTGTTCAGAGCACTTTTTTTAGGACCTACTCCTCAAATAGTATTTCTGCTTGCTTGTAGTTTTCGAAATCACTCATTTTCTCAGTCTTATCACCTAGTTTCTCTTTCAAGATTAGACATTTTGCCTAATTTTAGCTTTTCTTCAGTTTGCATAATTTCAGTTAATCAGGAAGTCCTTAAGCAAATGACGCACTTTTCTCTCGCATAAATTGAATGTCCATCCATACTTCTGACACTTAATAAAAGAAAGCTGGATGCACTCAGAAACTTAAGAGCTACCACATTCTCATCTGTACTCTACATATTTTAGTATACTTTATTTGCAGCAGAACTCAACATCTCTGTCCCATAGATTTATAAAACAGACAAGTAGTAATTAGTAACTGATCTCAATTTTCCAAATGCTTACACATCAAATAAATAAATTTATGCATACACACTGAAGTAGATAATCTATTAGATTTCTTTATAATACAATTCTTGCTTTCACACTCAGTTTTTTTTTTTTTTTTTTAAAGATAACCTTTAAAATATAATTTCAAATTGCATATATAGTATGCTTATTTTTTCATTTGTATGGGACACATCCATTAACTAGTATCTATTACAAACTGAACTGATGGGGTAAATATTTATATGATTATTAAATTTAATGATGACTATGCCTAATTAAATTATTACAGCTTGCAATAAAATATCTATTACAAAATAAATTAATATTTTCAAATAAATTTGTATTAAATATCTAGCCTTAGTTAATATTTTTTACTTTCAGATAAAAATTAAATACTTACTTGATGTTGTAGTTGGTAAACCACTATAGCATTTTTGTTTGCAATATTTTCTGTGGTCAAAATGAATTTTTCCTACCTGATTAAATATATATATAAATACACAAATAAGCAAATACATACAATTATCATAATTATCAAATGAAGATGCAATTTAAAACATTAATCTAATTTTATTCCTTAAAATTTTTAAAGGACGTACCATATTTTTGGAATTAGGATGTAATATAGGATTCCCATGTTTTAAAGTATCAAAAACAAATCTTGAATCTTCTGGCACAGTAGTTATACTAGTTATGGTCATGGAATGCGAAAAAGTGCTATGAACATATAAGCTCTGTGTAGATATTTTGCCCTATGAGAAAAAACATAATTTGTCTTTCTATTAAGAACAGGCTAATCAAATAGCTACAATTATGACATAAAATAAAAATTACCTCACAAATGTTAAACTGAAATTCGTATTTTTAGTATAAGATCTCAATTCTGTTAGAAATTATTACAAAATAAGTCATCATCATTGATACCATAATGAGTATTTTCATTCAATCAGCTATAGTAACATATGCAAATAGATTACAAAAGAAAATCTACAAGAAATGTTATTTAACAGAACTGATAGAGTTATGAGTTACAGAAAAAAAGTAATGTTAGAAATAGAGCAAACATACTTTCACATCAGACTGTTTTTGATTCAAAAGACATATCTGAATTCAGAAAACTGAAGCATGCTCAAGCATTAAAAATATGATTATCCTTTATCAAGAAAACTACATAAGAAATACTATATCTGCAAAGGAGCGATCTCACACCATACAGCAATTTTGATCTACAATGAAAAGTTTGATACTTCATGAATCTGCATTTTCCATATTTAAGAAACATTATTAACACAAACTGAACTGGATTGTACAAGCACAAAACAGAAATTCAGGACTTCTTTTTGCATAATCAAAGAAGTTTTGAATAAAAAAATAAACTCCAATGAGTGGATTATTATCTCTTAATCTTCAGTGATCACAGACATGAAAATGCAGTAAGATACAGGTTTGTTCACAGCAATAAATGCTAAGATGAGGAGTGTGATTAATTATAAATTTTAGAATATAAATGAAAATTCTAAATTCTGGAATCTAAAATGAAAGGTATACTTAGGGAAGGAATTAATTTTTTTTTACCCATAGAGGTATGAATTTGAAGTTAAAAATTACACTATGAAAGATCAATTTAAAAAAATAAACGTATATATTTAACATTTGAAGGAGCCAAATATTCAAGAGATATTCAGGATGTTAATTTTTTAAACTAAGTTTAAAGAGCAAAGAACATAACTGGGTGGAAGCCAGTGAATAAACTTGATACTTCATTCATTTTTTGTAAATTCAGCTTCACTATAAGTGTTGGTAATGCAAATTTGTTTATTGTACTACATGTATTTAATTTCTTTTACATGGAATAACAAAACAATATTTTTGCTTTAGCTTCAAATTAAATGTTCTACACTCATGTCCAAAATTATCTTACCCAAAAATGATGATATTCAATGAAATATCGAATCAATGTGATCCGTATTTGCAGGGAATGTGTGAAAACCAAGCCTAATTAGCATTATCCAATCAAAAGTAATCAAACGGTTTGTGATATGCAAATCTAGGCGTTACGTCAGCCAAGGGTGAATCAAGCGCTTTGCGCAAACTGAATATTTGAGTGAATTTCTGCAACATAGCATTTGATTTCAGTGTGTAGGGACTCAAAGCGGTTTGTTATGGCTTCGAAGTATCATTTGGAAGAATCTGTAAAGTGGCGAATTATCGGCCGTTTAGAAGCAGGGCAGTCAATCATGGAAACAGCCACATGTTTGAATATTTCAAGACAGACAGTCTCTAAGCTATGGAAACAGTTTCAAAATGATGGAAGTGTTGTAAGGAGGCCTGGACAAGGTCGGAAATGAATGACAACTGCTTCTGAAGATCGGTATCTGGCATTAACTGCCCGTCGTAACAGAAAGGCTACTGCTCACCAGTTACGTTCAGAGCTTGCTGCCGCCACTGGAACTGTTGCATCACGGCAAACAACATACAGAAGGCTTAATGAAAAAGGCCTTTATGCCAGAAAGTCAAGGGTATGTGTTTTACTGTCTTCACAGAAAAAGAGGGATCGCTTTAATTGGTGTAAAGAACATCAAAACTGGACTGAACATCAATGGTACCATGTTCTCTTTACTGATGAGTCGCGGTTTAGTTTAACTGGTGATTCTAAACGTGTTTACATCTGGAGGGAGTCAGGAACACGAAATGATCCCTCGAACATTGTGGAACGTGACCGTTTCGGTAGTGGAGGTGTGATGGTATGAGGTGGAATAATGATCGATGGACGTACGCCCCTACACGTGTTCAGCAACGGATCTGTGACAGGCCAGATATATCGGGATGAGGTCTTAGATCCTTATGTAAGACTTTTCAGGGGTGCATATGGACCTGACTTTTTATTTATGGATGATAATGCCCGTCCACATCAAGCAAACCTCGTTGATGAATTCCTTGAAAGTGAAGACATTAAGCGAATACCTCGGCCACCAAACTCTCCTGACCTTAACCTAATAGAGAACTTATGGGACTACCTTGGAAGAGGAATTGCATGTATACATCTTCCTCCTAGAGATGTAAATGCTCTGCAGACGGCATTGCTGGAAGAGTGGAGATTAATTCCCCAAACTGTGGTTAACAACGTTATTTCCAGCCTTAACACGCTGTGATATGTGTGTACAAGTCAGGGGAGATCATATTCCATATTAAATTCATAAGACTTAATTCTTTTTTCTGAATCATTCCTTTTTTTTATTAACTCTCTTTGTCACACTTTATTACCATTTTTATTGTTTCATACTACAATTTTATATCATATGAGGTGATCTTCAATTTTTTCTTTTGCATTTATGTGTCATCATGTTATGTATGATTCCACGAAAATTCATTAAATTATAAGTCATAGTCTCTGAGAAATCCGTGAATTTATGCATGTAAACATAATTTTGGACATGAGTGTATTTCGAGAGTCAAAAAGCATGCTGCTTACCTATGTAAAATATATCCTTGAGTTATAAATAAATTGAAATTATAAACATATGTATCAAATCAGGTGCAGAGTTAAAAAAAAATTCATATAGAATTTTAAAGCTGCTTGCAAAAAAAAGTAGCAATTACTGAATAAAATGGTTGGTTCTGTTTTGAATGCTTTGTTTGTTGTAAGTGTTGTTACAGTAATTTAATTTAAATATACAACTGCTAGTTAAAAAACATACACATATTAAGGGAAATATACAAAGTCTTTTAACACTTTAAATGCAGTACTGCAGTTTAATGCAAAGAATAAAAGTAGCCTCACAGGTCACCTTTGCAGTAAAGTCAATGAGTTTTTAATGTGCCTTCAACAAACTTTAAACCACTTTTCTGGAAAGTGACCCACCAACAGCACTAGACGTTAGCACTGCAAATTATAGTAATTTTGGAGAAGTTTTGCTATAAACCTTGCAAATCAAGCTAACACTGAATGGAAAGGAATGGATAATTAAAGCACTCATTGAATGTGGTTGTCAGTTTTCTTAGATTTCAGAATGAACGATTAAGGATTTTGGTCTCTTAACGTAGTGCTCAGAAAACTTCAGTCCATAATCTGTTTGGTGGATGTACAACTCGGTCACAGTCATACTCTTTATTAAGTTTAAACGCTTTCAGTGCCAAATTTTCAATTATCATTCATGTCCTAAAGCAACAGATAATTTAAGGAAAAATTCCTTGGTGCACAGGCAAGATGTAAGGGGCTCAGAAATATGGAAAAAGAAAATATGGTTGGTTAATTATGGTTATAGATGTCTTGATGTAGACTTGCTAAAGGAGTGGAATTTTGTGAGCAGTTATTCATGGAAAACATACCGTAATTGAGAGGAAGCTTGATTGTCTGTGAAACCACTTAGAATGGCTCATCATGCAGAGAGTACATGAAAATTTTGACGCTACATCAGCCTCCTTGACCACATGACTCTTTATGAAAACTGCTACTATTGCAGATTTCTGGAAAATAGAAGAAGTAACAGGAACTGCAGATCGACTTAAAGTAAAATTAACAGCCGAAATTACACAGGCTGTTCTGCAGCATTTTCTGGAAGCTTACATTTGGAAGCTATTATGCTGTCAATTTACTGATTAAAAAATCAAGAATCCTTGAGTAAGAATAAATAGTTCAACAAAGATATATATGGGCTACAAACTTAATTATTAAAGGATGCTACATGGGAAAGGATAAAAATGTACCACTACTGGTGCTTAAAACTTCTTCAGGAGAATTAATTCATCTGGTCTAAAAGATTTATCCTCTCGACATATATCATACACTGAGAATCAAAAACTGAAGAATGAAGCAAATGAGAGAGAGGATAAGTTTTCATTTTCAAATTTGAAGAAACTTAACTAGAAGTGGTAAAATCATTAACCATCTTATTTTAGAGATAGTTAAAGCATACACTTTAAAATCCTACACAATAGTTTGAAGAATGTAGTTATCAGTTGATTAAGTAACATTTAATCCAAAGGTAGGGAGGATGTGGGGAGTGCACATTTGTTTACTGCAGATGCACATAATTATTTTTCTTTTACTTCTTTCCTTGAAATGGCAACACAGGTGTTTTAGTTTACTTTTAGATTTCAAGTTCTATTTCTCAGGGTCAGATAGCATGCTGTATAGCTATGTAAAATATATATTAGCATTATGAAAAAAAATGAAATTGTACAGAGGGGGGGGGAAGGCTGAAAACTGAAAGTAACTCGAGTTATAAACTATACAGCATAAGCTTTACATGGCTACATACCCCTCTGTCATATGTAGATTAGTCTCTTTTCTTTTTCAGATTTTTAAGCTAAAGCATATCAACTAAATTAAGTCTAGATGACATCATTGTTACTCAAATGTTAAGGAGCACATAACTACGTTTTTAAGTTAATCGCTTCATGCTGCAAAATTCATTAAATGATGCTTATTGACATTTGTGCATTATAATAAGAAGAGCTAAAATCAAAACTTACAGGAAACGAATTTTCAAAGAATAATTCATCTACTCTTAGAGTACCTTTTGCAGTCCTTAAACTAAACGGAACATTAATTTTCTGGAAAGGACAGTAAAAGCATTAGCAAGCAACAGAAATATATTAACATGAGACAGACTGAAAAATCAACATAAGATGTTCTAACCAACTTAAAAATTGTGAAGCTATACAATACATAGTTTAAAATAAAATAAAAAAAAAATAATTTTGAAAATACCTCATACTGAGTTTCAACAAAAGCTTGCCCATGAAATAAGCCTTCATGTACAGGAGCTGTAATACCTATCCTAAATATTGCATAGTGCTGTGGTTTAAGAATAAGCTGCAAATAATAATATATGGATTAATAACATTTAGGAGGAGACACAGCATTTACAAACAGTAGTTTTAATCAAAGAAGAGAATTTCTTTATGCAAACATGCCTTAATAACCTAATAACTTATTAATTTATAGAAACTTTTTTTCAGGGATTTGTCAAATAAAATGAATTGGTAACATATAAAGTCGATATTATCTATCAGTTCTGCAATATATTCAAAGAATAATATTTCACTGAAGTCAGAATAATATTTAAGATTATGAAATATCAAACATCCAATTTTTCTTTTATTGCATAAAACATTTGTTACAGCACTTTTTAAGCCCATTCCCCTTAGAAGTTAGCACTTCAATAACACATACATTGTGTATTCTATGAGCATTCTTAATCATTTCCATTTTCTTAAATGACAGACACTATTTGCAAAAGTGAGAATAAAAAAATGCTAAAATAGTGTAACTTATATATAAAGGTATATACAGTATGAAGTCCGAGATCCGGACTTGTCGGGACTTCTGCGATTCCGGATTTTTCTGGATAATGGATCATCATTTTAAATCTAGTAAAATTGCATGTAGAAATAATAAAATTAAAAATATGAGATCATGATTTATGAAATAATGAAACATTTATGATCCAAAGGGTATCAAAATGTAGAGAAAAAAGCTTAATATTTATTTGTTTACTTTATTAAACATTTCTTTCAAAGTTGTTTATGTTGCTTCTTTTTTTGTGCTAATATTTTCTCTTTAATTCTATAGAGAGACATAATTTCTTGTTGAGTTACAGAGTTCCATTGTTGAAGTCCTGTAATTGTTCTGACTGACTTATCAATCGAAATTTTTCACTTTCAGTAACCTCTATGTCAATTTCTTCACTATCAGTAGTGGTATTTTCTGGATCTAGAAACATACTACAGATTTCACCATCCATTAATTGACTGATGATTAAGGAATACTGTCATCACATTGAAAAACTTCTTTTATATAATTTTCATTTATTATCGCTTCTTCATATTTCTTTACAAAATCCGTTAATTAGAAAATTTCACCTTTGCTTTGCGATATCCCAAAACCTTCAGATTCGTGGCTATCATCATAAAATTTAGCTATCATTTACTATATATATTTGGCTATGTATCATAAGATTAGCAACTAAAGACGAGTTGTTCTGCTAAATTTTATCTTGCTTCTTTCGCACAGTGATACAATTAAGCCTAAATTGTATTAGTTATTTATTATTATATTTACGCCTATTCCTTGCACATGATTAAGGCTTATCTGAGTCCTGAATAAATAAATTTCCACATATACTTAAGGCTTAATGAGAGCCAGTGCTGGAAATCTTACAGGATGATGCTGTCTCTGTGGGTCCTAAATTCTTGCTACCAAGCAGCTATATTTGTCTTCCCTAAATTCTGCCACTTAGTGTGCCCATACGAGCTCTAGCACTGGTTCTGGGCTTAAGTGAATAAGAAATCAGTTATTCTTAACTCAAATAGCATTAAATGTAATCTTTTGGTTTATAAGTATCATTAACAAAATTTATTTTTAGCATATGGAAAGAAATTGTTAAATTTTTCCTGTCAACATTTCTTAGCGCATTAAACTTAAATCTGTAATCATCGCCAAGCGTAATGTCAACATAAAAGGTTACCATACTCTTTGTTATTCAATTACTAATATAAAAAAAAATTGTTTAGGCGTCGCTACATGAGTTGCCATGTGTTGATAAACATGAGGTGCTGAAAGCAAAATATAATATATAATGATTCGCCAGGTTGGTGTCAGAAATATAAAATATTAGTTGGCATAAAATCAACGATGTATCTATGCAAAATGTTTCAAATTGAGAAGTATGGCAAGCATATATGCAGCTACGGATGCAAATTATCAATTAAAAAAATACGAATTAATGCTAAAATGATTGTTTCTTCGATAAAGAAGTAATTTAGTGCCGAAGTGAAATTAAGAATTGGGACTCTCCACATATGCAGGGGGGGGATTCAAATGCGCATGCGCAAAGCACACACAAAAAATAAATAAATTTATAAAAAGTTGGTGGTGGGTTTGAGGTCCGGATTTCAGATCAATCAAGATATTGGACTTTGTACTGTGTTACACATATAAGAGTGCTAGAGCCCAGGGGACATACTGATAACATATGATGTCCCACTATTGGTAATATCAATAGATATACATGACAAACTGCAAATATTAAAAGATATAATATACAAGAATATAAGACCGAATTTGTAAAATGAAAGAAAAAATATTTAAGCATAATTTGCTGGCAAGAAGTGATTAGACATTCAGTGACATAAATAAAGTATACAGCTGATCAGAATATTGTTATGAATTTAGTAATTTTGCTTTTTTATGCTAAGTTTTCATCCTACATTTAAAATGACCAATCAGCCCATTAAAAATTACACACACAATCAAAGAAAACTAGGACAACCTAATAGAGTGGCTTCTAACTCAAATTTTATGCAGGCTGAATGCACGATCTGGGACACAGCTGACAGGCCAATTTTAAAGTTATTTTAACAAAAGGAAAATTTTAATTAATAAACTAAAAATATTTTACATAATTTTTAAAATTGCTAATTATTCATCAAAACATACAAAAACAATAATATGAATGCTGCAAACGGGGGGAAAAAAAATCGCATTTACTTTCCATCTGAAATCTAAAATTTGGTACCTGAAAAACACTTTTGTTGATTACACATTGTACTTTAAAAATATCGACAGCTAAATATTAAATTTTTAGATTGACATGTTCTTTCAAATAATTCTAACATGTTTAATTAATTATTGAATAATTATGAAAGCTTTCTAAGTTTTCAGATAAAATTTAAGAAATAGAATACAACTTGGGAATAAATAATAACAATGTAGTTTCTGTGTTATTAATTAAATATTTCTATGCATAAATAAAAATAATATATTTGCACAAAATAATTAAATTTCTTTATTTCTTACTATAGCCTGGCATTTTAATTCTGACGAAATTTGCAGCCTTGGAGTGAAATTACTAGGAATTATCTTCTTCACGGATTGTAGATGCTCATTGATCAATAGGTTTTCTTAATTTCTGAACCATGAAAAAAAGCTATTCACATATAAATAAATGTGTTCGAAAACCCAGAAATTACTCTTAGAGCAAAAATTTGTAACTGAGCATATTTATTCTTTGATAAATACAAATAAAAATTAATTAAACCTGTATCTTCAAATATTTGAATAAGATTTACATCACACTGTTAATTTATCGGCTCCATTTGTAAATTTTCTGGTGCAATATTCACGTTTGTTTTCAATGGAAATGAAAATAATATGAATTCGGACATCAAATAACTAAAAACCTGTAATCTTTTAATACTATTTACAACCAATGCATAATTGAAATGTCTTCATGGGCTGCCATTTTGAGGCCACAGACCTAATGATTCAAGTAATGGTAATGAATCTCCTAACAATAGTGACGAAATAACAATATAAAATATTTACATTAAAAATGCTGAAATTATTTTTATATGGAGTGGTTCATGCTGCAAATTTAATTTTACACACTATATATGGCATTCTGAAATACTGTAGAATTTCTTCTCACCACAACCCAAATATCAACTGGTATTAAATTCGTCATTGCAGGAAGAAAAGAACACAGCCAAATAACTGGAGGATGAATAAATGTTACACGTCAGAGCTGAATCATAAATCGTGCTAAGCTTAAAAATAACTTCAGATAAATCCAATTATGTAGTATTCAATTGCTTCTACAGAAACTGTTGTAACAGTTTAATTTCGCTGATAAAATTTGAACATTTGCATTTTGTTTTGTCAAAGCTCCATTACTAGATTGCCCTTCTCCTGTAAAGAAGTTTTTCTTATATTCCAATAACACATGGGAATACAGGAAGAGATCTGAATTCCTTACACTGTAAAATTTCATTTGCCCTTTTCTTAAACATACTATTTTTGAGATCATAAAGGCAAAAGAGAAAACTCATGTTTGTTTTTGTATTAGAGTAACTTTACAAGGTAGAAATAAATTCATGAACTACCTAGTTTCTTTCAAACATTCTTACATATTTCCCTGGTAAACTATGACAGCATCACTTATAACTACATTATACATACACACTGTGTAAGAAATTGGACCATGCATGTAACATAACTGTCAGACCAAATGTTTTACACAGTCTACACAATATATATTTTACTAAACCATTATTAAATAAGTAAATTTATCATAAAAACAGACATGATGACAAAAACAAGCAATCATATATAACCCAATATACTTAACACACTTTATTTACAACACTAGCTTAGAAAATCCTTTGCATGAAAACTTTCCTTTCTCATACTCGGAGTTCAGAGCACTCTTATGATCAATAAGAATGATTTCCTTCTGCTTTCAGCAATGTCTGTTATTACTTTCATACATCATCAATAAATTTTATACTATAAATTCTCTGCTTAACAATCAATTAGGATGAATAAATATATCTGAAAAACTTAATTTAAAATTGCACTTGTGGTTTACAAGAATGCCATTTTTTTAATGAAATGGAAAATTATCTTTTTTAATGTTTCCATTTTGGGTGAATTTAAAAAAAAATTAGGAATGTCTTAAATTCAGCTTGCCAATAAATATTTGGCTATATCACTGCTACCCCCCCCCAAAATGCAAATGCATGATGTATTGGGAAGCAGGGCAAATACCCCCCCCCCCCCCGAAAAAAAAAAAAACTCACCAGCAAGATATATATAAACAGATATGGAGAAAAAAGCAAAAGGATTTACTATAAGTATAGGAAAAAAATTTTAAAAATCGGTATTCAACATACCTTTAAAGTATGATTTAAAATTTACGAGATCGCAAGTTTTACAAGAAGTGCAATTTAAGGAATGGTTTTTTTGTATTAGATTTAATTTTTTGTTGTCATATGAAATCGACTATAACATCTAATAACTGATTTTGCCAATAATCAGTGGAAATAACTCAATTCCTTAGACAAATCTAGTGAATAAATTATTTTAATCCTATATTTCCAAAAAAATTCTTTTAAAAGTAAAGCCCAATATGATTATTCCTGCTAATTCTATGAACTGGCAACATACTATTTTTTTTTTTTTTTTTAAGAAAAGGTTTCTCACCTCACCTCTGTAAAACCTTAATTTTTAATCATAGTTCAACAAATATATTGACACAATCTTTAAAGTTTAAAATACTGCCAAGTAATTCATTTCATCAAACTTTTTCAGAAAATCCACGATTTAAAGAATATGGGGAAAATTAATTATGCTTTAGCTGTCATATTTGGCAATACTTCCTCTAATTGGGGATAAATAATTTGAGTAGTGGTATTAACAGAAAAATACCATAAAATGACTTAAAACAATAATAAATTAAGCCCATCTGAAACAATTTTGCCAACCTCTCAATGTTATTTATTTTTCTTAGGCAAGTTTGTAAACAGCAGCAGCAGATTTGTCAATTTACTTTTATTAACAGCACAGAGCAGTAAAAGTATTTTGATTAACAGGATGAGGAAGGGTATCTCTTAATTTCAATCGAAGCACTTGCAAGGAAAATACACTGAAAACTTTAAACAGAGAAAAAATAAAAAGTTCAATTCAGACTATCCACCTCGTCAGGAACAGAATAAGATGAAAATACACTATTCAGTGGCTTTTATCAGTCAATCACTGTTAATACAGGCCGGTTACACTTCTATCTCAAAATAAACATCACTTTAAGTAGTATCAAAACATGAATTGCAGAATAAATTAATCTTTAAAATCTTCCTTCACTGACAGTTTTTACAAAGGCTATCATAAACAATTTTTAAACATATGAATTAACCATCCTAGGGATATGCAAATAACAATTCCCACATCTATTGGCAATTAATTTATTCAGAATTTAATCATCTGATGTTTCAAACAGAAAAATTTATACGCATTTTAATAAAAGAAAATTCTCTATTATAAACTGAATTAAAAATTAATAAAATCATACATATCATGGGTCAAAGTTGTAAAACAATCTTCCTGCAGCTGTATCTTAGAGTGCTCAAAGTGCCAGAGTAATGACCGTCACCTAGCCATTGTGCTATGTGTCTCACCATTAGTCACCATACACATAGCACAATGGTGAGCAGCTGCTTGAACAATGTTAGTGTCTGTATCTGCAGGGATTGCTGCAGATTCTGCTGTAAATATTTTATGAAAGCCCTCCAGCATAACTAATTTCCTGCACTACACAATGTCCTTCAAGGTCATTTTGAATAACTATCAAACGTCATGCATCACATATTACAGTAATGAGAATACCAACATGTGTTGAACACACACCATGTATTTACAAGATATTTCGAAACCAATCCACAGACCATTTGTTTAAGTGTATACAAATTTTTCTAATGGACCTCATATTTTTATAAGCACCTTGCTTGGCAAATAATTTTTTTTCACTATTTGACATACAAACTTGCAATCATTCATATAATTAAATAAAATAAATTCCACAACTTTACCTAAAAAAATTAGAATGGATAAAATATGGAAAAATTTTAGAATCAAATTTAATACATAGGAACTCGGTTTGTGCTCTCTGTTTGTTTGAGTATCATATTTACAGTAACAGCAACAGAAGCTTGCAGCATACAAATTATATAGAATGAAGTAAAACAGCAAATTCACACTCCTGCATTATTTTCAAATACACTGAAAAATCACATTTACGTCTACAGCAATTAATGAAAATTTCAAATTAAAATTTTCTTACTGATCATGATTTCTAACAAAATTTAGTGTTGTATTAATTACAGACACAAAGATTTTCCCATAATAATACAAAACTCAAATCAATTAAAAATGAGAAAGCTTCAAACTGAAAAACGAGATTGTAAACTCAGCAAAAATCTAAACAATATAAATAATTTATAATTGGTTTTGAAACAGTTAATTTCACTGGAGAAATAAAACTTAAAAGGTGGCATGTAACAGTAACTAACAGGGAATGTAAAGCTTTAAAAGAATTAAAATTTATTGTAACGGAAATCTGCTGATAAACAGCTTTTGCAAAAAAGCATTAATACTCACACTTCTAGCCATTGCAGAAAAATTCTGGCGCCAAGCCAGAGTGCTTGCATTTCCTTTATCTACACCAACAAGCTCCACATAAGTTTTACTTGCATTAGATCCCCAAAATTTCAAATTTACCTATGGTTTTTATTCAAGATATATTAAAACATAAAATTAAAATAATACAGTAAAATAATTTACTACATTCATCAAGTAGCACTTTCAAATCAAATTTGAATTTTAAATATAACATACATCAACAGGATTCTCATTGATCACAGCAAAAACAACAGTACGCTTGTCACCCATTCCTAGGGTACCAAAATCTATAAAGCTTTCATTAATGGCATGTGGTAAAAACTGTAAACAAAGAGAAATAAACATATGTTTTATTACTTTCTACATGGAAACATGATTTAAAAATATATAAATCAATTAAAAAAACATTAATAACAGCATTCCTCTTGACAATATCAGGTCCTCAAGATAACATTCACTAATATGATAATTATACATTGAGTAGCACAGGAAGTAATGACATTCACTAATATGATAACCACACATTCAGCACCAAAGAAAAAAAAAAAAAAAAAAAGAAGAAGAAGACAGAAAAATGCAACACTAAATTAAGTTATTTCCACTCAATTTCTTTTTTAAATATTTCGTAGTTAGGTTTAAAACATGTCACAATTCCGAAATTTAAATGCAAATGTTTCATTAATGAATATTACCATAGTTATGTTACACAGCAGGATTAGAGTTGCACTGATTAAAAGTAGCAACTTTTATTTGAGATTTAAAAAAAAATTCGGCTGTAAAAATCAACAAAATGTAAAATTCTTGTGTAACTGAAAGTGCAGATAACTTCTTTTGGTGCCATATTTGCTAATGCAGCTTTGTAAATAATTTTTATTACTTTCCATTTCAATTTATTGCAGTCAAAGCAAAGGTTACACTTTGCCTTCCACTGCTCCTATGCGGATCTTACAATGTAAAAGAGACTGACAATTTATTTTTTAATTTAAATTACATTAACATTAATTTTGGTACTACATATTACTGCAACTACGTTAGTAGATGTAGCCAAATACTCAAAATGCCACAAGCTCTGGCAACCATATGCCATATAACACTTCTTCAGTTTTAACACGCAACATTACTATTTTTGTATGCATACTTTTCTTTTGGGGGGGGGTGTATTCCAAATTTCAAAAGTTCTTACAGATAAATCATGACACTGTTTGTGGAGAAAACTGTGATAAAATTTCTGCAGAAATACAATACTTTGCCATACAATTGCTAACAGAAAAAATTAATTTATTCTCAAAGCAACTACATTACAACTCCATTTATCCAAATTGCTTTCAGAATTAAAAAAATATATATATATAAGATGGAAACGTACTGCAATTCATAAAATAACGATTATGTCTACGTGCGCTATTGTCCTTCCCTCTGCGAAGTTAGTGTAGGCACAGCGTGAACATTATTGGAATGATGAGTCACTGTCTGATAGTGTAGTTCTATTATTGGCTAAAGTACCTTTGTCCATTGCCATGTGGCCGGCTCGGCCCACCTGTTAATTGTTAGTGTGTCGTTGACCTGCTACAGTCCTGTGCAGTACTCTTGCATCAATGCATTGCTTTTTTGTAAGTGCGTCATTCGAAAAGAAAAGGTGCTATGTTATCAGTGGATAAACTAAAAATTATAGAGCAATTAGATAAAGGTAAAAGTTGGCTGAGATGTATGGTGTCGGACAATCAACGATTTTGGACATTAAAAGGAGAAAATGGTGTGCGATTTGTCATGGATGGCATGTGATTCGTCAGACCCTGGATTTCAAATTCTAAATGATGTTGGATTTATTAAAAGTGTGAGAGAAGAAAGTATCAAGGAAGATCACCATAATGTTGAAGTTGAAGCAGACACAGGACCATCAGCTAGTGAAACATTTGCAGGCCTTAAAACTGCATTGATGTGGATGAAGCATCAGCCCAAGTTTAACCAAATGCAACTTCTCATTGTCAAGTGGATATATGACTTGGTTGCCCAAAAATGAATTAAGATAGTCAAACAGCTTACTTTGACCGAACATTCAGCAAGCAATGACTTTCAGCACTTGTAAGTACTGTATAGTACCCTATGTAACATGTATGTAAAAGTGTTGCCTTTTCATTTTAATTAATTAAAACGTCTTTTTCTTTAAAAATAGTTTTTCCTCTCATTTTCAAGATACAATGCATACATAAAGTGTACGTAAACCCTTTCTTCGGAAAAAGTCCAATTATCTGAATTTTTGATTATCTTAATGGGGTCCAGTCCCAATTGATTCGGATTATTGGAGTTCTACTGCATTACACTATCAGCGTATCACATACTCAAAAGACTAATAAACATATTCTAAAGTATTAGTGTTGAAAAAAAGTTGGAATCTTAAATAAATACATTACTCATAATAAACATATTCTAAAGTATCATTGCTGAAAATAGGTTTGGATCTTAAGTAAATAGATCACTCATGTAAATAACAAAACTCTTTTAATAAGCCTACTTACTACACTCACATATTTTTGCTAAATACATAAGTTGTTCTGTTGCCACTTACAAGAAACAAAACTAATCATAATTATTAGTGGCAAAATAATGAAGTAAATAAAATTGAATGAAAGTACGCATAAAATATAAACTACATGCCACCTGAAATCCAACAGTCTCCCAGCTTAAGTTGTTGAGAAACAACTTAACCTACTAGAAAATTTAAAGCGTAAAACCTTTGAAAATAAACATAAAATTTTAAAAGTGAAAGGAAAAGATAAAATAATTAAATTTAAATCCAGATTTTAGTAATGCATAATCTTTGGTTAGTCCTGACTTCTCTTCTATTTCTACTTTTCACAGATTTTACAGCCTTTTTGCTTATTTTCCACTGAACACCCTTCAACTTTAGTTTGTTCAACAATATTTTTTTTAAAAATTGTTTTGTTGTATGTTATTCATCAAAATTTAGCATTGCATTGATTTCTTTAGCTTTAAGTAAGGCTTTCTGTGCAAGGTTTGTACTACCCGGGAAGTGCAGTACTTTGGAAGGAGGCAATGTTGTGAATTTTTTATAACATAATACAGTACAAAGTCTTTAATCCGGACTCGTCAGGACTTCGGCGATTCCGGATTAGGGGTTTTTCGGGATTATAGATCATCAATTTAAATGTGGTAAGATGGCATGCAGAACTTATAAAATTAAAAATATGAAACCATAATTTATGAAATAAAGAGAAATTATGATCTAAAGGGTATCAAAATTTAAAAAAAACAAAAAAAAAAAAAAAAAAAAAAGCTTAATATTTATTTGTTACTTTATTAACATTTCTTCAAGTAAGTTGTTTAAGTTCTTAATTTTTATCTTAATACTTTTTTTATTCTAAACAGACAATTTCTTGTCAATCCACAGTCAAGTCCTGTAATTGCTGTGTCGAGAATACTGACTAACTTGTCAATCGAAATTTTTTTGGTTTTCAATAACCTCTCTGTCACTTTCTTCACTATCGGAAGCAGTACATCGAAACATGCTTTCAATTTGTAGATCCCTTGGCAGGTCCGGAATCAGAAACTCTTTTTGACATAATTGAAAGTTCAAGCTTACTTTTTATAAAATTGCCCTAACAGTCTGCAAAAGATAATAAGCCAGATCCAATTAGAACATTAAGGAACAATGCAATCTGCAACATTAACTGAAATAGATAATTAGATAATTTTAGCCTAGTTTATACCGTCCATTATACATTAAATGCGCATGTGTAAACGTAAATGCGTTTACGCATGTGCAGAAAGTTTGTAGCTTTGAGGTCCGGATTATGGACGTCTGGATTAAAGACTTGAATGTCCTGAAGAATTTGAAGCTTTAATGGAATAAGATTTCAGGGACAAGTCTAACATTGAAGTAAATGGTTATCTTGTTACATTTTTTAGATATCGTCAAGTTGGCGAAGGTTTGGCAACTAATTTTTGTTGACAAATTTCTCGAGAAATTGCCAGAAGTTGCCAAATTTGGTGACCATATGGCTGCATTTAAGTTCAGATTCTCTGTAACTGCAATTGGTCTATATGCCTATGTAACTGTATCTGTATATGCCTTCCAGTAATTTTGAGAAACGGAAGGTATTGGAAATTTTTAGGTTGCCGGGGAAAACTATATAAGACCGGAAAAAGCACCAGCCCTCAATTTGATTTCAGAGGTTTTTAGTTCAAAGTTGAGTTCGGAGGAGTGAGAGACCTCCGTGCCTTTTAATTTTAATTAATTAAAACCTCTTTTTCTTTAAAAATAGTTTTTTTTCCCTGTTTTCAATATACAGTACGTACAGTAATTAAGTGTACACAGACCTTTCCTCAGAAAAAAATCCAATTATTCAAATGGGGTCTGGTCCCAATTGATTTACAGTTCTACTTACTGTAACTGTGAAGAAATTTCCACCAAAACAAAAGAGGGAAAAGAAACTTGCTTGTAAATAGATTACTTGATTGATATAGCAACTTTAAATGCATATAATAATCAATCTTTTCAATTATACATCATAATTCTTTCTTCTCTACAAAATCACCAAAATGCATCAAGATGGTTGTTCTAATGCATAAGTACAGTAACCTTCACTTACATTTTTGTTCTTTAAGTAATCACAAAAGATGAAACTCATGATAACTGGAAATACAGATAGAAATATATTTATGAATGAAAATTTTAAATGACCATATAAACTTGCACTATAATTGAAGGTATTTGAGCTAATACTACATTATAAGAATGAAATAATGAAAAAAAAATAATAACCTACCTCCTCCCCCTACAAAAAAACATTTTTTCCAATTTTTTCATCAACTTAAACCATCTCGTTATGGCATGAAATATTTTCCGCTATCTATGAGAATACATTCACTGCTATCTATGAGAATACCCATAATTAGTAAACCAAGTTTACTTGACAACTATGTGGTTTGGTCTATTTAATTATGGCAAACCATATTAGGGTTATCTGCCTAGGGGGAGGGATGCCTTCATGGAGGACTTTCTAAGGGAAACTTGACTCATATACACGTTACACATGGGGAAAACCACGAAAACCCCCATGCAGCCAGGCCATTTGCGGGATTCGGACCGAATTATTACCAGTGTTCAATGACTTTACCGCTCGGCCGCTGTTGGGCCTGGCAACTATTTGATAGCTCATTATTAATGACCCTACCTAAATGAGTTAGTATAAGTACTGCCACAGTAAATGAATGCAATGTTTAGGTGTTTGATGTGCAGGAAGAGACTAAATAATACACTTGGCTTACTGAAATGGATAATTTGCTCAAAGCATAGTTAT